AAGTTACCCTGACATTCCGAAGGTATATTAAGGTAGATGCAAAAAGGCACTAGACAGGCTCAGTTAAAGTAAAGATTGACCTTTATCAGGGAAGATACCGGTTTAGGAAATGACTACCTGCCATGACCTGCTTTTAGCTGGAAAGTTTTAATTTCAGATCATTCTGTGTGGTTACTTTAGGTTCTGAGTTTGTAAGGCTGCCATGCAGGCCTCCCCTGAGCGTGTCAGGTTTAGTATGTGGCCCCTTTTCCTTCACACCTACTTCCAAAGTATGTAATTGGAACAGACATGCTCAGCAGCTGGCAGAATTCCTACAAAAGCAGGGTTCCCCTTGGCTGGAAGAGAGCCAGCAGGACTTTTTTTATTTTTAATTGAATCAGCCCAGCCCTGTGTTCTTGCTACCCAGCCATAGACATGGACACTTATTTCTCAAGCAGGCTTCCCATCCATACCAATGGCCTTCCCCTAACCCCGGTCCCTCTCCAATCACTAGGCCTGGAGTGGGCTGCCCACCCATTCTCCCCAGGGCTCATCTGCACCCCCTGGGGCCTGTCTGGCATGAATCATGGGGGAGGGGTGGGTGCTGTGTGATGGGAGCCTGTGGAGAGTCAGGGAGCATTACTGTGAGCTGATGTAAGTGGGAGGCGGGGCTGCCTGGGGAGGCGCAGCATTCAGCACATCTGTTCCTGGCAGAGTTGGTGTTCTCTGAAAGCTGAGAGCTAGAGGATTCTCCAAGCCTGTGCGAGCTGACCAATCCTTGTACAGCTAATACTGGGAGTGTGTTCCCTTTCCTGATGTGGGGGTGTCGTGGGGAACACGCTGGAGCCTCGGCTCCCAGCGCAGGGGCCTGCAGGAAGTGGGAAGGGGCAGTGCTTCTGGGAATTGTCAATAGCCCTCGTGGATAGTTCTTCACTCTGGGCTGCAGCTCTGCTGAGCACACACCCAGAATTTTCCAGGACAGTCCTTTTCTCAAAGATTCCGTGTCAGGGTGTCCACAAGTATACTAGAATTGTTACAGGCCTCAATTTTTGGTTAAGAAAAGATATTGGTGGTATCTGTAGGGTTCTTCCTCCCTCTGTGTTCACATCCCACTCATTTTGAGGCAAAGCAGAAACTCCCAGGTCTGCTGGACCAGCAGGGACAGGACCTTGCTTCTGTTCCCTCCAGGGGCCAGGCCGCCCTGGAGCTCCTCCACTGAGCCGCCAGCAACAATGCTGTCTGGCTCTCTCTGTCGTCTCTCTGGGTTCTGGCAAGCTGGGACAAGCACACAGACCCCAAAGAGCTAGGACAGCATGAAAGGACGGGTGTTCTCTCTGCCCTCTGCTGTCACAAACACCATCATTCAAGGCCCAGTTCAAACCCTGCTCTTCCGTGAAGTCGTCCCTTGTCACTGCAACCACAGGGATCCCACCCTTCTCTGTTTTTTTTAATTTATCTTACAAACTCGTATGTAGCCCTTCCTATGTGTTGGACATGGTGCTCAGTGCTTCACAAGTATTAACTCGTTTAACTTTCCTGGTGATCTTATTGAGTGGATCCTAATGCTACTTCTAACTTGTAGATGGGGAAACTGAGGCACAGTACCCTTTCTGTTAACCAGTTCCTTACTCATTGATTGGTTATTGTTTTAGAAAAACTTTGACTCACCTTAATCCATATTCTGCCTTCCAGAAAAAGGACAGGTAAGAGCCTCCTTAGTTCGTGGTATGGAGACAAACAGCCTCACTGCTCCTGGGTAAAGATTTGACAAGGCCCATGGCTGAGTTTCATCACCATTATAATTTTTTTTACCAAGCAAAGTATACTTTAACTCAGCAGATGGGGTCATTTTAGACTGTTCTCACTGGATTCACATTGTTGGGGATCTTGTATATCATCAGGAGAGAGTTTAACAATCAAGCTATACTGTTCATAGACAAAGGGAAATAAAGGCAGAAGACAACAGCAAAATGTTGAAATTATCTCAGCAATACAGTTTTATTTATTGACTGACTTTGAGAGAGAGAGAGAGAGAGAGAGAGAGAGAGAAACATCGATCAGTTGTCTCCCTTACACGCCCTGACCGGGGATTGAACCCATAACCTAGGTATGTACCCTAACAGGGTTTCGTCTCTGTTATATCCCTTTTTGCATTTTGTGTCTATAGGCTTTAGTATTATCTCACTACACTGAGCTAGTCCTTTGTCTCCAAGCATGTAAGCTGCCTGGGGGGGACAGGAGGCCGTGCCCCTCTCCCGGTCCTGCTCCCCAGCGCAGAGCCTGGCATGACAGGCGCTCAGGGAGTGCTTGCAGACACGCTGTGCAGATCCCCGTCTGGGAAGCCACCTGAGCTCCAAGAGCAGAGACCATGTCGTCTGGTTCTCCCAGCAGGTCCCCAGGAGCAACCCAGTGGCTGGCCCAGGGCAGGTGCCCAATGCCCAGTGGTAGAAGGAATGAGGGGGGCTGCCATGACACCCTGGTCACCTGCCCCTCCTGCCCTCTGCAGAATGTTTGCCGCCCGGAAGAAGCAGCGCTATTGGCGGTTCTCCATGGACTGCACGGGCACAGAGGCCCACATTTCCAGCTGCAAGCTGGGCACGCAGGTGACGCGGGACCCCGTGAAGAATGTCACCTGTGAGAATGGGCTGCCGGCTGTGGTGAGTTGCGTGCCTGGCCAGGTCTTCAGCCCTGATGGACCTTCGAGATTCCGGAAAGCCTACAAGCCAGAGGTGAGAATGGGGCAGGAGTCTGGCCACTGGGCACTTGGGGTGGGGTGGGGTGGGTGGTGGTGGTTAAGGGAACAGACAGGGACCCCCAGGAGAGAGTGAGGAGAGCCAGCCCCAACTCAGACCACTTTTCTAGAGGGCAGGACCAGCCTCATCAGCAGATACCACCTGCAGGGTGGGGCAAGCAACCGAGCCCCTGCCCCAAATCGTTAGCACCCCCTTCCACCACCGCTGCTCCACTATAAGACCCAAGTCCCCTCTGTGTGGGACAAGTGCCCAGGAGAGGAGAGTGACTCATCGACACTGGTGCTTCTGCACAAATTTCCAGAGGACAAAATGCTCTAGAGCCTTTGGAAATGCAATACAACCCTCAAAAGCACCTAAGCTCAGCCACAAAGCATATTTTGGTTTATTCTGCAACAGAACAGAGAAAAATTTTTAAAAACTCTCACAAAGATAGAAAACGAAAACCTGCCATTACCATGTTACCTGTACCCATTAGTCAAATATGTTTGTGCACTAGCACCTGTGCGTGTGTGCATGTGTGTGTGTGAGTGTGTTCAGGAGATGTCCCTGCACGTCTGCTCACAGAAATGGACACCCCCGTTTCAACAGACTGATTTCCTAGGACAAGTGAACTACCCCAACCAGAGTGGGCTTGACACTTCCTGAGAAAGAGATCGTGCACTGTTCTGTCTTCCCTTGAGAATCAGGGAGAAACTTTCCTTTTTCCTGCTCTTCTGTTTTCCTCTGTTCACCAAAGTGTCCCTGGGATTTGCATGTTCTGGAAACTGCTAACATGGCCGGTGGTTGGGAATAGTGGGTGGGAAATAGCACAAGGAAGAGGAGAGGGAGGAGTAGGCCAGAGCGTTGAGCATGTATTAGGGAACGATTCCCTGTGCCAGATAAAACCTTGGAACTTTGAAATTAGGCAGCTGGGCAGCAGTGAGTTCCAAGTCCGCTCTGATCGCAGCAGGGGTAGGAGGAGGGGGAAAGGTCGTGATAGGGGCAGATGGCGTGTCCAGGCGGTGGGGCCGGAGTAGCAGACCCTCCCCAAACCTGGCAGGTTTTATTGGCCGAGGCAGCATCATTCTATTCTGTCTCCTTTCCCCTCTCCTTGACTGCCCTCCTGTCTTTCCCCTCTGCCCTCTCCAATCGCCCCTCCCCACTAACATCAACAACTGGCTCACCCACCGGGAAAGGGGAACCAGAACAGGAGACAGATAAACCACACCAAGGTCCCTCCCAGACTGGGGATGGTGTATTTGGACAAAAGAAGAGACCTGCAAGGAAAGGGGTGAAGCGAAGGCTGCAGCCCCGCATCAGCCAGAGGGTGTGGGAACTATTTGGAGTGCCTTCCTGGCACTTCTGGTGGGCAGCCAGCACTGCCCCCTCAGTCCCCACGGGGGCCTCCGAAGTGCACAAACCTGGCACACAGGTGTGCAGCCTGGCGGCACAGGCGCACTGGACAGTGCCAGTTCCCCCCCTGCTATCCCACCACAGCCTCACTTGGTCCCCTGCCATGTGATTTGACGGCCACATCCTTTGTGTGACCTCAGCCTGAGCCGCTGAGCTTTCCTCACGTGTTGCCCAGATCCCACGTCCTACTGTTTGGAAATTCCTCTTACTGTGTGGTTTAAAGCAAAGGAATCAAGTTCATACCAAACCAATTAAAAAAGCAAAAGGGCCGGGAACCCTTACATCATATTTTCCCTTGGTTCCTCTCTTTCCTCCAGGGCCAAGTGGCTCTGCCTGGCCACTGCAGGCTGCGGTGAGGCTGTTGGCACTGCCTCCATTAAGCTTGGGTCGTGGATAGTCCGTTCCATGGGAAGGGGCCCTGGCATCAGCTAGACAGCTTGGGAAGGGGGGTGGGAGATGGGAGGGGTCACAGACTACAGGAAACGGGCCGGAGCCAACAGCTGTACTTGTTTTGTTTTCTAAAGCTAGAATCGGGCCCTGAAGCCAGAGGGTATTTTGCACCCACCCCATCTCTTTTTTCTTCTCCCCCTGGAGCCAGGGTCAGAGCAGTCCCTGAGATCTGTAAAACTGGGTGCTGTCACAGCACCCCATCCTGCCATGGTAGCCGTGAGGCGCAGTTGGTGGGGTACAGAGATGTGCCCGGGTGGCAACCTCGGCTGGATGATGGAGACACAGGGCTTCATTTGATCCCTTGGCCCTCAAGGTGAATGTTTAAAAACCACCACCTCCAGCCCTGGCCAGTGTGGCTCAGTTGGTTGGGCGTTGTCCCGTGCCCCAAAAGATTGCTGGTTCGATTCCCCCAGTCAGGGTACATGCCTGGGTTGCAGGCTCGATCCCCAGTAGGGGGCATGCAGGAGGCAGCCGATCAATGATTCTCTCTCATCATTGATGTTTCTATCTCTCTTTCCCTCTCTCTTTCTCTCTATGAAATCAATAAAAACATATTTTTAAAAAACAAAACACACCATCTCTAGCCAGGCCTGCTTTGCCTGGGCCATCGCTGGGGGTTGGAGATAGGGTGAAGGGAGTCCGGGGCTGAGGATTACACAGGCCAGAGTAGGACAGTGACTGGTCTGATCCAACACACATTGACTAGCTGCACAGTCACCCCTTACTCCCCCTGTGTTGAATTGGATGAGAGTCAGCAGTAACTCAGAGCCCCAAAGCCTTCTGAGTCCCTCACCCCAACACATATGCACAGGTACACACTCATGCATGCACACCCATGGATACACAGAAACTGATGCAGCCCAGGGTACGTGGGCAGATGGAGTCCAGTGACCTGGCTCTCATCTTGGAAGATGTGATCCAGTGGGATCATGATGCTGGTGGGGAGTGGATCTTACTCCTAAGCAATGAAGTAGACCCCACAGGAGATAAGGCTTCCAGGCAGTCAGTGAGCAGTTAGGGGTGTTTAAATTGTAACCACCCACCCTGTCTGCATGCCTGTGGGGCTGCATCTTCTGAAGAGTGGGACCGATTGGACTTGGAATAGAGTCGGGTGAGAGTGGTGGCCAGGCAGGAGCCCTGGTTTTACAGCGCTGTTATAAATCAGGTAGAATGATGATCCGTCTGGAGTCTGCAGACTTTGGGGGGTAGGAGTGTCTTTCTATAGCTCTCAAGCTTGAGGTTCTGGATAAAGGGGTGGAGGGAGGTGCTGGTGGTAAGGCCCTTGAGCCAGGCATGGGTTGGGGGGACGAGTTGATGAGGGTCCCAATGGGCTCCCCAGTGGCCCAGGACTAAAGTGCCGCAAGAGACTGCCAGGGGAACTTGAAGCAGAGCCGACCTTGCAGAGTGAGTGAGCCCTGCCACACACACACACACACACACATGCACGCACGCACCTAGTACAGTTTTTGCTTCCAGCCTGGTGCCTGGGCTTCGAGTGGGGGTGGTTGGGAAAGGACAGGGTGGGCAGTGACTGCCCGCTGAATGTGCATCAGCCTCTGCACTTAGCAGAATCGTTTGTCTCTTCAGCAGCCCCTGGTGCGGTTGAGAGGTGGTGCCAACATCGGGGAGGGCCGAGTGGAGGTGCTCAAGAATGGTGAATGGGGTACTATCTGCGATGACAAGTGGGACCTGGTGTCTGCCAGCGTGGTCTGCAGAGAGCTGGGCTTTGGGAGTGCCAAAGAGGCCATCGTTGGCTCCCGGCTGGGGCAAGGTAAGGAATAGGGAGGACATCCCATAGCCTCTCCACAGAGAACATGGCATGGGAGCCCAGCCCGGCTGGCCGGCCTGGGGCTTCCCAAGCTCTTCTTGCTCTCCTCCTGCCCCCAGCAGCTGCTTCTCTTAGAGACTCTCAGGCCTCTCCCTGGAAGGGCCTTAGGGAACACTGAGGCCCCATTTTCCAGTTTTGGAAGCTGAGGCCCAAAGAAGGGAGTAAGTTACCAAGATGAGACAACATATTAGCAGTCAAGGAATACTTTAATGGGGGCTCCCAACCCCTAACCCAGGGCTCCCACTGCCCCACTGAGAAACTGAAATCTCAGGAAGGTCCTCCAGGAGGAGAGCTGAGGGTTCATCAGACTGTGGGCCACCCTGGACACAAAGGAGTCCCGTGTCCTCTTACTCTTCCACTCTGGCACAGCCCCACAAAACTCCCTGCCACTGAAGACTGGGAACATGATGCCCCCCCTTCGGATGTCATGAGATGCTAAGGAGAAGGGGCCTGGTTTTTATTAAGTGTCCTGAACAAATGTTCCATTTGAGCAAAGAACAAAATATAAGAAACTTTCAAGCGGGTCAATCCCCTGAGAGCAATGTTATGACCCTGACATGACAACACAACAGAGAATGTCCCTTCCCCCTGAGCCTGTGAAGGCCACTGACCCTTGCAAGCCCCTGGTCTTCAGAAGGAGGCTCTTCATCCCGACACACTGCAGCCCAGTGAGTGCCCAGCCCTCTCCTGGGGAGCTGTGGGCTGAGGAATGGAAATCAGCCCTCTGGGTGTTGAGCAGCAGGGAGGCTGCAGAGAACCAGGGGCTGCTGTGGCTGGAAGGGGTTGGGGAGGAGGGAGAATGGGCTGGGGAGGAGGCGTGCGGTGTCCTACCCTGTGGGGAAAGGATGTTTCCATGCTGTCAGACAGGGCCATTGCCCCACAGAAAGGAATGTGGTGAGGTCATAGATCACAGCGGAGAGGAAATAATAGCCCAGTGGACTGGCGAGAGTCCTGGGATCAGACAGTCCTGGGATTAGGGGAGCTCAGGCCATCTAATCCAAACAATGGGGAATTTGAGGCTCAGGAGAACAAGCCTGAGGTCATCAAGATAGTTAATGGTAGAGAAAGACAGAAACCCCAGTATTCTGACTCAGATTTGGGCCTCCCCCTTTGCACCCCATCGCGCTCGCATTCAGAACACCTCTCTACCTGCACTCTCCAGCCCCTGCAAACTTCCTGGGCATGCACTGGTTTGGGGTCTGAGGTGGACATTAATGTCACAGTATGCCACTCAGCAGCTGTTAGGCCTCATGGCAGTCCTCTCTGGTCATGGTGAGTAATTCAGGCTTCCCTTAGGTCTCGAATATTCCTACAGTTCCATTTTATTGATTGCTGATGTGATGGTTTGGGCTCTCCCAAGGCCAACAGGACAGAGACCACTGATTCTGAGGAATAAACAAGGCCTGGGTGACATAAACATTCCATGTCTCCTGGGTATGTGCTATTTGACCTAATTACTCCACTGCCCAGAGCAGCCAAAAGTTTCTGAGGGCCTGCGGAACCCTGGGAGAATGTGACGTCTCACATTTCTGATGCTGTCCTTGAAAGAACCATTGGATGATTTACTGTCTGTTGCCACACTGGGTGTGGTCAACTCTGGTTGGCAGAAAAGGGAAAGTCCACATTCAATGTCAGGTCACAGAGCAGATGGGGTCAGTCCCTCAGTCCTTGCTGTGGCTGGTGGACCAAGTGACCACACCCAAGTGAGGGCAGTGAAAGGGTGACAACGGAAGTTGGGATGTCTGAATCCCAGTCCCGGCCCTGCCCCTACTTGCACAGTGACTTCTGGGCCTCAGAATCTTTACTGGATTTATGATGCCTGAGGTTCTGTCTGACTCCAGTCTCCTGTGATTCTCCGAAACTTGTCTTTTTCACAAGGATGGATGTCAGGTCAGAGTCAGGCGGTGCCCTTTGTGCTGCGGGACCCCGGCACTCAGACAGCATTCCAGCTGTCTGTTTATGCATCCGCTGGCCCCATGACCAAGTGCTGCATGCGGGGAGGACCTGTGTCTTTTATCTCTGTGTCCTTGGTGCTGAGCCTGTGCCCAGCTTGTAGTGCTCCAAGAATATTCATTTCATCAAGAGTGAATGAATGGACGGATCAATGAAGGAATGAAGGAATGCGTTCCGGTTGCATAAGTAGGGTCAGCTGAACTAACACTTAGTAAAGAAGTTTCAACTTTCAAGACTTGCACTGTCCAATAGAAATACTATGCAAGCCATATACATAACTTAACATTTTCTAGACATAACTTTAAATGTTCTAGTAGCCATGTAAAATAAATAAATAAATAAACAAGAAGCAGGTGAGCCCTGGCTGGAGTGGCTCAGTTGGTTGGGCATTGTCCCATGCACCAAAAGATTGCTGGTTCAACTCCCAGTCAGGGCACATGCCCAGCTTGGTGGGGGCATGTAGGAGGCAGCTAATCAGTTGCTGTGTGTTCAATCTCAAGTTGTTGTTTCTCTCTCTGTCTCCCTCTCCTTTCCTCTCTCTAAAAAAATCAATAAAAGTATTTTAAAAGGCAGGTGAAATTAATTTTAATAGTCTATTTTCTTTACCTAATACATATGAAATCTTTTGATTTCCACATGAAATCAATATAAAAATCTATGAATGAGATAGATGACATTTTGCGTACTAACTCCTTGAACTCCAGGGTGTGTTTTACATTTACAGCACACCTCAGTCTGGACTGGCCACTTTCCAAGTGCTACTGTATTGGACAGGGAAGCTCTAGAGTAGGATTTTCAACAGGTGTTTGCAAGAGTTTTTAAAACATGCAATACCTGACTGTTCAGTCAGAGGCACTGACCTCTTTTCCCTTAGACTGTCAGATAAAAAAGTGACAACAGCCAGCACAACAATAGCCGTCTGGTATGAATGAATCAAAGTCATACCTTTTTTTTTTTTTTTTTTTT